CTAGTCAAGAATGATTTGTTTTTTAATTTATAATACACAGAAATCTATTTATAATGTATCATTTGGTAAAGATTTATTTTAGCTGGATTTCATTCGAATGTACAGTATTTAGGTTTTTCATGCAATAAATCATTTTGCTAGCCTAATTTAATTCTGTGTATTCATTTTACATTCTCTTTAAAAATCCTCATGATGACTGATATGTCTAATTTAAATGAAGTAGCCAATATAAGCTTGATGTATTTATTCAAAAATAAAAGCTCACAGATTGCTTACCCTTCCTTAATTCAAGATGAAATTTTATTTATTCTTAGGAAATTTTTTCAAAAAGAAGATTCATTTCTAAAAAAATTATTACCAGTAGTTAGTCGAAGTTGTTCTGTTTTAGTTTATGTAGAATATATTTAAGCCTAATATTCTTGGATTATACATTCCATGTTAAGCCAATGATTATTGATCTGATTTTAGAAATATATTATTGGCTTATTATTTATGATCCCTCATTTTTTATGTTGAGAAATTTTAAGGATTGTTAAATATAATTTATGCAAACAGATCTTATTATTTTATGTGGATAAATCAAATTTCTTTTATTTAGTATCAAATTAGAGTTAAAAAAAAAAATCCATTTCAATTGGCAATTATTTATTATAAACTTCTAAAATGGCGTTGCATATCACCTATAAAATATGGGTTTTGATATTTTTATAAGTTGACTTCTAAATTATTTTTTCATTATCTTATTTTTAATAATCTATAGAAAAAAAAATGTTTGATACATTAAAGTAATTTGTTATTTTTAAGATATTCTTGAGTGCACTTATAGGAACAAAAATTAATTAATTAAAATTAAGATGTTAATTTGTAAATATATAAATTTATGTTATGGAATATAGAAACTAAGAAAATCATTTTTCAAGTATATTTTATAAAACTGATTGAGAATACTATTTATATAGATAGAATTTTATATTTATGACTTATTTTTATGTACTTCAATTAATTTAACTTAAATGATTTCATCAAGGCCTCTTAGATTATATATGCTATCAACTTGAGTATTATTTATTTTTAAATAACTTCCTATTCAGAAACTTTTAAATACTATAAGAACATGTAAGAGAAAGTTAAATTAAATTTTTTAAGTACATCTTAATTGATTAATTGTGATGACTTGAATTAGCTTGTAACTTATTCATACATCTTCTTAGAGTGATAATGAAAAAAATCATTTTCTATTTTAACCGCTGGCTCACTCCGAAAGTAACTACAGTGATAACAGCATTAAAATACCTTAAAAACCATCATAAACTTTCTAATAAACAATAATTTTTCTGGAAATAGAGCAGTCTGGAGTAGCGTCATCCTAAATAAAAGTTTAAATTTAATTATCTTATATTTCTGATGATGTCATAATTAGGGTCATTCAAGAAGTCGTCTTCTTCGATCCCAGGATTTGATGCTAGGGTTATACATCAACCAGGGATGAGTGCTGACCATGACATTTAAAGAATCAGAAAGAAAAGAAGAGAGTAAGATTTAAGGACTCCTAACCTGGACAGTCTTCCGAAATCCCACTTAATACTAGTCTTTCAAGGGAAGACGTGCATTTAATAAAAGTTTCTCCCTCCAATAACCAAATGAAACATAAAAAGGGAAGGAGTTGACTTTTCCCTCCGTTAAAGATTGTCCCTATAAATAAACTTTTACTAATTTGGTTAAACTTAAAGTCTATATTACTATTTAGAAAAAACCCACAGAAAAGTTGTGAGATACTACAAACAGAGAGTCTCCTTCAGATTTTAACAATACAGAAGATTAATCTTTCTAATAATCTGTCCATTCTGTCCCTATATATAGCCCCGCTATAGTTTCACATCTATAAAATCATTAGATGTATGAAATTTATAACAAAAAGCTACAGAGCCATAATCCTTGAATTCCTTCTCCCTATAAACTGTCTTTACAAGTATTTGACTCAATATTTCTCCCTTTTAGGACGAACTATTGACAGTATGCTATCCCTGTATTAAATATAGTTCAACCTTCATTTGTAATAAAGAATTATAGGGTTACTAAAATAACCATTTCATTAAGAGTTATAAGTATTGGCTCTGAGGTATATGTTTCAAGTGGCCTGAATCTCAAACTGTTATAAGTAAGAAAATCTTTTAAGCAGGAAAAATCACTTGCTATGATAATCCTTAATAGTTCCTTAGGCATAATATTATGATAGAACTAAATATAAATCTCTAAAAGGTATTATCTTAAATTCCTCAATTCAAATTAGATTTATTCGTTAATTTTATTCAGTTATGTAATTTATAACCCGACTTATTCATTTCTGACCTCACTTCTGATAGGACTAACTATTCCTCCTTCTTTTTGAATTGGCTTTTACTAATTACCTTTTCAATAGCTACTCCTAAATACTCCTAACCAGTATATTGAACTTCCCCTTTAAACAAACTCATAAGGTTTCTACTGAGTTTTGCTATGGGGGCTGTTTATATCTTTACATTCGTATTTTTAATAAATTTCTACAGACCAGGAAAGAAGAAGATGTCATTGCCATATCTAGCTTGTGGTTTATAACTCTCCTGGATCTCACTTTATTACTCAATCTATAATCTTTGAAAATCTGCCTACTTCTTATATTTAATCTTCTATTATCTTCCTACTTTAAAAGACACATTAGGTGATACGTTTTCCAAAATTAAATCTTCTAAAGTCTTACTAACATCGGTGTTGAATCTAGTTTCACTTCTAAACTATTTAATTAGTTTAGCCCATCAATTAGCCTCCGTTTTAAGATAGGCTGAAAAACCTATCTTTTAAGACTCCCTTAACAGCTAAAAATGATCTCTGTAAACTTACTCGTAGAATGTTATTGTTCCAATTCAGAAGATGAAAAAATTTCTTCGAAGCAGTTTAGTACAAATGTTTTAGACCATAAATAAGGAAGACTCAGGTGTCATATAACTATAAAAATCTACCTGAATTCTATTGTTCATAAATGACTTCATCAATACTCTAAGCATTGTAAAAATTTTCTAATTCACCTTCACCCTAATTAGTCTTATTCAAGATTAATGCTCAATTTTTTATGATGGATTATTTTAAATTGCCTATTAATATTTTAAATATTTTCTTAAACCGAAGATTTCTTTATTTAAATATCTGCCTTAATACTTCTCGTGATATATATTATGCTCCGAAGGCTTTAATTATTTTTAGTTTTGAATCTGATTTTTAATGAGAGTTTTTCTTTTCTTTAAAATTAACCCTGTGTTGGAAAAATAATTGGAAAACCTTCCATTTCTTCATACCTAAACTATACAGATCAATTCAATCAAAAGAGAAGTGGTTAAATCATAACCAAATCTATGATCACTTGGGTCATACTTGGCCAAAACAGCTTTAAAAGTAATTTACTTAATCGGTTTCACTCTAAATCAAATCATTTTCTTTGATTTAAGGTATCAAAGAAGTAAAATCATGATCTCAAATCTTGTAATCGAGTTCATACTTGAGTTTACATAACCAGATCTGCTAAACTGAAAGACTGAATTTGAAAACTTTCTATATGAAATATTTTTTGTGGTCTCTCCTTTACTAATGATCTAAGAAACGAGCTCTATTTTACATAAGCATGAAATATGCTGAAATTAGCAATTGTTATCAAGAAAAGAGAAAATGTATGACAATTCCAAAGTTTCAGTTTTCAACCTATTTTGATTTTTTGTTTCACTTTTAATAAGCAACTTTGTTTCAAATCCTTTTATGTAAAATAGTTTTTAAAGCAGAATTCAAAGTTATTAATGAAGTTGAATTATAAAGTACATTTATTTATTGAATTTAGCCTAATTACAA